GAAGAATGACGATGACTAGTAGCTATATAGATAAATAAAGTATATTAAGTCACAGGAAGTAAAAAGGGAAAACTATTAATTTATTTTTAGAATCCTGTTCTTGCCATTCATCAAAAAAGAACATTCAAAAGTATGCAGCAAGATACAAGCATCTGGCTGAGGTTGGCTGACCACATACCAGCATTCAGACTACACACAGAGCCATTTTCCTTTTTTGGGCCAGGCAGACCTGGTGCCAGAGAGCACAGGACACTGACAATAACGGGGCAGTTCCAGCAGACATGGGGAACAGCCTTTCCACCAGCAAGCTACAGCTGTGTGGGCATGCCCGAGGCTCCCCATCCTTCCAGTGGCTCCACACTCAATTCCTCCTTTTGGATACACTGTGTTACTACCAGCACATCCCAATCTGCTACACCCATGCCATCTACTAACAGCATCCAAAACTAAATACAGAGGAGAAGACCTTGATGCCTAAGTCAGCTCCTCCAGATGCAGGCCATGTCATCATCAAGCAAAACCAAACGCGTGATGTATTGTGGAGCTGGATGCTCAATTCCCCAAAACTGAGCAGCAAATGCAGTACGCCCACACAACCCTTCTTCCCATCCTATTGCCAAAATAGCATGCATACATCAGTAGAAAGCCTTTTCAAGACAATAGTGCCACAACACACAGTGATGAATTTAATGGCATTTGCATAAAAGCTTCCATCTTTTGCAGTCTGCAGTAGATTTTTTTTCTGGGCAATCATACCAGAAGCATAAAGTCATGCCATATTTTGAATCTATGCCTGCCAAAATCCGGGAAGAATTGCAAAGCACACTCATTGACATATCCTGCAGTACATTGCCAGCCAAGATGCTATAGTACAAATGAGCGGACATAAATAACAGCACAAGATCCACTTCTGCCACTTTTCTTATACCAAAGGAGCAAAAACCCAACATGTAGAGAGAAGCTTCACCCCAAAACCTCCACATCAGAGGTCTTATTCTTCTCAAGAAGAATTATAGGACTGCCACTGTATCGTGCTAAAAAAGCTTTAAGGTGACTCCAGAAGACTCAGCATTCATTACTTGTGCCTTCACAATATTGCTGAAGCCAGTAACTGCTCAATTTCTGTATATACTTTTTCTAAGTGCACCCTCAGACTGCACTTTCAGTTGCCAGCCTTTTCCCTTTTTTACTGAGTGCTGTAAAATGTGTTTTTCTCTCTGTGGGCAGTTTTCCTTGGAGAACCTTCCTTATCACACACAGATGCCTATCACATATTCCAAGTTCGTTCTGCAAGTGGTGCATGAGCTGATATCAATAAGTAAGTACATGAGGCAACAAATATTTGCAATGTGTTTAGAAAACAAAGTGTTTCCTCCTCATAGTGTATGCTCCCTCTGCATAGGATACAAACAGTGGGAGAGGTAAGGCATCAGGACCAGCAGCACAGAACTTGCAACCGCTGAAGCCAGGATATAAAAAAAGTAATTTATAAAAATTAAAAGAAACAGTTAACACCTGCACACTACTTAACCTTTCCACAACAGGTTTCAGATTTTGAAACTCCCTCCGAGCACTTACAGTTGTGCATAAAAAGTCATAGACTCGTGTCAGTTTACAAAAGAAAAAAAATAGCATTTTTTGGAGTACAGTCAGAGAGGACAATTTTGATGATTATGTATATTATTAATATTCCACTCAGAGGAGTAAGAACGCACAAGCAAGCTCTCGCATTGACTTAGAGCTGCCAAGAACAAATCAGGTATGCAGATACGGCAATGGGCAAAGATACTGCAAGGAGATGGCACGGGATCTCCATCCTTCCATCAGGTCAGATCTGGAAATAGCTTCCATAGCAGCTGGAAGCACAGACTGCCAGGGAAAGGCTCAGAGATGGGAACTGGAAGAAAAGGGAAAGCAGCAGAACCTGGGGCGACAGTGAGGCTGAGAGCCCTGGGGACAAGCCAGTATGGCAGAGTGTGACATGGAGTGTGTGAAGAGCGGGGATACAGCCCAGCTGTCCCAGGACAGCGGCTGAAAGAAGGCGAGGGAGCACATGGAAGGGCCAGCCTCCCCTGCTGGGCTGCAGCACCACTCTCAGAGGCACTGGGGTAGGAAACTGAAGGCTAAGCCAAACAAACACATCTCTTCTTCCCGTGGGTGCACAGGGGCAGGCCTGGGGCAGAGGCTGTGACTAATGTAGCTGAGGCTGCTCTGCTTCCTGCGCCTGGGAGCGGGACGGGTGGCTTCTGAAAGGCCTGCGCGTGCCGTAAATTACCTTGTGTGACAACTGAGGCATCACCGCCTTGTTGCTCTTCAAAGCGCTGGAAATAAGCTGCACGTTGCTGCTGACATCACCCTGTGATGTGACACCAGCCCAGCAGCCGGCATGGGGTGGCTTAGCATCGCAGAATGTGGTGGTGCCATGGGTTCCCACTGGGCATTCCTAAAAACTGGTCATTGGTACAGCTGCCTGTGAACATACCAAGCTGAGGGCTGACCCATACAGTGACTGAACAACTGTGTGGAATGAAGCAGGGGGAAAATGAGCAAGCTCCGTGCTCCTCAACCTTTTGCACAGTAATACTCTGAAGCCTATCCTGTCCGCCCCAGTCCCCTCTGCTCTTCCCTGCCCACAAACTGATCCTAATTTAAAACCAGCTGTATTTTCCAGCCACAGCATGTCCCTAAGCATTTCCTTTTCTCAAAATCACCAGAAGCCAAAGGGTGTAATTAACGTCAAAAGGGCCGTTTTTGCCTTGTGGATGCCAATACCGCCCCTTCCCGGGGCCGCTCTCCTGCCTGCTCACTCTGCCTCCTCATTCCCCATTCCCTCTACATCTCTGTGGCCCAGCCGCAGAAATTAATAAGTTATTAGTACAAATTAAAATATTACATTAATGATGTACGTGAGCGCAAGTTACAGAGCTGGAAAAGAAGTCCTAATTAAATCAATATGGTTATTAGTCCCTTGTCATCTCTGATTAATTATTAGCTTAATATGCTTCATCATTTTTGCTGTTAATAGAATTGTTGCAGCACTACCACAGGGAGATTGGTGCTGCAGAGGAGTCGATGGAGCCGTGCTGGGGGACCCTGCTCAGGCATGAGTGAAGTAATCCTGAGAAAAGAGGGGGAAACACCTCACTTTCGCGTACAACAGCCTCATCACATAAGAACTCCCATCGTTTTCAAGGGGATCCAGCTGTTCTTTCAGGGGCTTTTTAACTGTTGATATGCAGGGGATGATGGCACGACTGTGCCAAGCTGCGCCCCAAGCACTTGTCCCAGTGCCCCCATGCCTTACATTGGCAAGATGATCTACTCTAGGTCTTTCCCCAACCAACACAACACTGCCTTTTCAGCCAGTTCTGCCCCAGCCCTTTCTTCACACTTCCTGATTGCCCAGAGCGCAAGGAAGGAGCAGGCAGCAAGTCAGGAGACACCACCTTCTGTGCTTGGGGCTGTGGACAGGGCAGGGGCCGAGGACCCCCAGCCTCTTCTGCTACCTACAGAACCAAAGACAACATACCAAGGTCACCATCCAGCTCATTCCTAGAAAAACATGAAATAGTCTTTAGGTAACTCCAGATGTCTGGCAATACACCTCTCCTTTGCTTTTTTTTTTTTTTTTTTTTTTTTTCCTCTCCTGCCACCCTCCCTCTGATACCAGCTTTTCCTAACTCTATCCCACCCCGGCTGCCTGCAGCAAGGCTTTGTAGGGATAAAGACCTGGTGCAATACAAATCTCCACCTGATCCTCCTCCAGCAACAAGTGCAGAACATGATCGAGGACTGACCAGGGCTAGCATTGCACTGCAGCGCATGGATCCATCAGGAGCTTCATCCCATAAACAGCTTCACAAACATACTCTTTGGGATACGATAGCAACAGGAATATGCGTGTGCTTCCAGGAGCAAAGCTGCTCCTTGAACTCACTAACAAAGCTGGTGCACAGTATTTGTGCTGCTGATGGGTGATTAAGAAATTAAATAGAGAATGCCACCGCAAATCATTATGCTGAGTTCCTCACAGATGAAGTGCCACTTGAACTTCCCAGGACTCGCCCTACCGCTGCCATTACCTCAGGATAAATGGCCACTTGCACAAAGCCAGAGCTTCGCAGTGCCAGTTTTGCCCCTTGCCCTCCTACAGCCATCCCTGATAACACCTCAGCCTCCATTCCACAACACACAGCACGGAGGACTTCCACCTCCTACATTCAAATCAGAACATGGGGCAGGCAGAATTCAGCAACCTCGTTCCCCAGTGCTGAGCTGCACAGCCCAGCTGCGCCATATCACAGACTCAGAACCTGTTCCCTTCTCCTCCTGGTTGCTCCACCAGCCCATGGCGTACAGAGCATTTCAGAACTGGGCTGAGCTCCAGTTGAATGTTTGGCCATGTAGTGAGGAGACTCCAGGATAACGGTTTTCGTGGGAATCCAGAAAGAAGGAGTAAAGAAAAGGGCTCCACGCGCTATTTTTAGCTGCAAACAGTAAGATTTGGAATTCTGATTGTGAAGTATGGAATTCACAAATGGTGCCACACTAAATTTACTGCATTTATATACAATTCTGCAGGATAACCATGGGGGTTACAGCATGTTCCTGGTTAGCATCTCAGCCCTAGCTTTATAGCCTCTAAACCAGGAGAAAAATGCGTTCAGTAAATAGTGCTTGTGAAATTTGTGCCCCAATGCGTGCACATGAGGATTTTCTGCACGTGGTGTATATGTGCATGCATGGTATCTTCTACAAACACGTGTGTCAGTGCATGTGTGCACCCACAGCCACCGAGCTAGGATTTATTTCCACAGCGAAGCCAAGGAAATTCCCACCCCCTACCATTTAAGCGCTTGGCTCTTTGGCTCAAAACATTCTGCAACTTCTCAGCCAAGGAATGTATTTTCCCTTTCCAATATATATAATTTATTTTGCTGCACACGTTAGTTAATGATTCAGAGACACACCATTAAGCCAGTGCTGTGAGGACACTACCGACTGGCTGAGCAGACCCATTTCATTTTGTGAGATCTTTTTTGCTAGCCTGCAGCGGCACAGTGTGAAATGACAGCAGCCACTGAATCAAGGGTTTGTCTCATCTACTTCGTACTCCAGCAATTTTTCATAATTAGCCTGGCTTCCTGAGGCTAGATGAGCTTTTAATTACTACATTAACGTAGATAAAGACTTTATGCCGCTCTACGCTTCTGGGGGGTGGGGTAAGAACGCCGTTTTATTTCCCTACTACTTTGCAGAGATTACTCCGGGATCCGTAACACCGCTCGGCACCCCGCAGGGCAGCACCACCCGTAACACCGCTCCCGCAGCGCAGCGCGTCCCGCTCTCCTCTCCCCGCCGCACACTTACGTGGTCCCCACGGCGCGGCGGCAGGCAGCCTGTGCAGGTGGATCTCATCCTTATCCATCGCCCGTCGATCCCCGCAGCCCGGCTGAGGTACCAAACTCAACTTGCCAGGGTTCCTCCTACCTCCTTTTTTTTTTTTTTTTTTTTTTTTTTTTTTTCTTCCCGTCCCTTTTATCCCTTTCCTCTTCCTCCCCCCGCTCGGTGCACGGGGAGGGCTCGCTCACCCGCCGAGCGGCACCGCGCAGCGCCCCGCCGCCCCCCGGTCGACTTTAAATAAGGGCGCCGGGCGCCGGCCCGCCGGGAGCGCGGCCCTCCGCGTCACGCCGCTGCGCTCCCTCCCTCCTTTCTCCCCTCCCTTCCTCTCTCCCCGCCCGCGCCCCCCGCCCCGCGCAGAGCTCCGCGCCTACCTGCGCGGCGACGGCGCTGCCCTGACCTTGGGCGCCGGAGGGACGGCGGCAGCTGCGGCCGGGCGGGGGCAGCGCGGCCGACAAAGGTCAGCGCGCCCGCGGTGCCCGGCGAGAGCGGAGCGGTGCCGCGGGGGTTCGCCCGAGGCCAACCCTCGCCCTGCCCCGCGTGTGCCGGCTTTCACTGCGCGCAGCCGGCGAGGGATGCTCGGACGCGCTCAGCTGCAACCTGCCGGCCCCCGTGTCGCTCTGGTCCCGCTCTCGGCTTTCCTGTGTTACCCAAAGCATACTGCGTTGGGGAGCCGCTAGGTTTTGAAAGTTTTCAAAACTTTCAACTTTCCTGGGAAGATCTGTGATTTGATGCGGTGGGTAGAGAATACATCAGTTAAACATCAAATAAACGCAGGAATTTACTCACACGGGCTTCTTCACGGACTACAGTCCTTAGAGGCTTCAAAACCGAAGCAGGATGCTTTTAGGCTAGGTTTTATATCTTTTTACTTCATAATTTTAGCACTTTTTTTTTTTTTTTTTTTTTTTTTGAGAAAGCTTGGATTTAATCTATTTTTAGAATACACATTTTAGTTTACTATTTATTAGCTTATTATTAACAGAAGAGCAGATGAATAGATGGTGTTGCACAAAGCTCCATGTACCAGTTTGCCTTGCCAGAGTTCAAAAGGCGCTTGAGAGCAAGATCTCCTACTTACAACTACTTTGTTCTGGACTGAGTTTTGCAGCAGAACCAAATGTAGGCACAAGCCCAACCTATATATTTGTCTCATGAATACAAAACACAAAGAAATCTGGAAACAATGCTGGATTCCAGCATCCTATCTCACTGTGACCACAGGCTCCTCTGCTGCCCACGGCTGACGAGGCACATGGGTGGGCACTTGGCAGGGCTGCACAGCTGGCATAGAGCTGGGTGCTCACCAGAACGTGGCCCTTGCTGCCCATCATAGAATCACTAAGGTCAGAAAGACCTCTAAGACTGTTTAGTCCAACCATCAACCCATCACTCATGCCCACTAAATCAAGTCACTCAGTGCCACATCTGCCCTTTCTTGAACACCTCCAGGGACTGTGACTCCATCACCTCCCTGGGCAGCCTATGCCAGTGCATCACTCACAATAAGAGGCCAGCCTCCACCTTGCTACAACCTCCTTTCAGGTCATTGTAGAGAGAAATACAGCTTCCCCTGAGCATTCTCTTCTCCATCACCCTGTTGAAAGCCACACAAAAGGCCAGCTGAGCCAAAACATCATTTCATAATGAGGTTTAGGAAATTCTAGTCTAACAGGTGGCATGTCAAAAATTGAGGTTATTCTCCAGCTAAACACATGAAATAAAAATTAAGCAGTAGACATTAAGCACCTGAACAAGGCTGGAGCATAAGTGTTAAAGAACAATAATAAATAAAAAAAAAAGTGGCCTAAAAAAAATAAAATCAAACTATAGTAATTCTTTGCAGTTATTTCAGAAGGCCCTGGCCCGGCCCTATTTTCATAGCAGCGGAACCTCCAAGCACTGCCCCCACAGCACCAGGAGGCCAGGCACTTCTCCCTGCTCCATGAAGAAGCCTGAGCAGATCCCTCAGCTGCTTCAGAGAAGCCCACAGCTGGACACAGCTACAGGAGAATGGAAAAATCACACAGACAGACAAAAGGCTGCACGGCTGCCATCCGCTGGGATGTACCCACACCCTGTGGGCAGGCACAGAGCTGGGCTGGCATCAGTCAGGGTGCTGCTGTGCCCAGGATGGCAACTGAGCTGTAGGGACACTCAGGCCATGCGCAAGAGCAGAGGAAACGTGATTTGTCATTACAAGAGCCGCCGAGCTAAAATAGGCTGCAGGGCTGATAGGAGACAGCGGCTTTGTTGCAGTTTTCCTCCTTGGCATGTGATAAACCCACTGTGCCATCTCAACACATACTTGCAAGAAGAACAGCAAAGGGACAGGGAATCTACTTGTCTGTGCAATAAAACAAAAATGCTTTCCTAACAATTAGGAAGGAGACAGTGCTACTTGGCACCCACACCTACAGTAAGTGCATTTGCTGAAAATATTTATAGTTTGCTCCTGCAGAATGTACTGTGTACCTTTGTAACAACAATAACACAGCTCTCACCTCTTGTCATTTGAAGACAAGCACAGGCTCTGGGTGCTCATGCTGGAGGAACGCTCGCTTGTGACACAGCCCCACTGGCCACAGGGGCAGCCCTGCAGCTGCTCACAGTCGCCTTCAGATTTATTTTCCTGGCTGTTTCACTTTGGAGGCACACAGCGAGGCAGTCCCTGCAGCGGAGACACTCAGATAAGGACCACAGCCCTGGCAGCCACCCAGGGCCATGCCAGCACAGTCACATGGGGAAGGACGAGACCTGGCTGTAGCTCAGCACAGCTGGTCCCACCCCCTGCTCATCACCTACATGCCAAGTAAAAGCAAACGGGTGAGTCGTAGTGTAAGTAGGGAATGAGATACTGGAGAGTTCTAAAAATCACAGACAGGATCTGTGAGGAAAAGAGGGAGTAGAGGGAGTAGCTGTAACAGCTAAGACATACCCAGAGAAATTGGCAGGTGGTAATGCTAAGATAATCAGCTGATGGTATTTCTGAATACATAGTATTATTAAATTACTCATAACATTAAATACAACCAAACTATGGATACAGAGTGTAGCTACATTTCATGCAATTCAACTAAGCACAGACTTTTTTTTTTTTTCTTTTAAGGGATGTGAACCACCCATTGAAATATAGGTTCGAGTGATGTCTTCTGTACAGAGTAGTCTGGCTATAGTTTTCAGCTGTATAAGCTCTTAAGCTCCTGGTTGCTGGAAAGGCATTTGTGGGGAAGGATGTTCTGTTTCTCATCTCCTTCCCTTGCTACTTACCACTAACATACACTGGTCCTGGGCTGGGGGGATCTCAGGTCTGATGGCATGTGGCAAGTCTCCTGGCTGTGCATTTTGTCTTCACATAGAGCTCATGTATCTAGAACACAAAACATTGTGCATGTTACAGTCTCATCCAAGTCAAACACAGTTGTGTTGGAATGAAGAAAATACTGCTAAGAACATTATTTCAATCAGTGCACCAATCTTTCGAATGCTTCTGTACAATACTTAAATATTTACTTCTGTCAACACTCCCTGCTCTTTTTTTTTTCTTTTTCTTTTTTTTTTTTTTCTTTTAGCCAAAATTGAATGAGAAACTTACTAAAGTTTGCAAACAGTATTGTCTGGTGTGCTACATATATGGTCAAAGACGAATGCAATATGATGATTGATGCAAAAAAATATACATATATTTGTTGTTAAGATTCTTCTCTGCTTCATAGGTGTTTGCTTGTGCCAATGGTAGATACATATTTAAGGTCACCATAGAACCCCTAAATGAGGATATTTAGGATGGCTGATCCACACAATTTTAGGCAACATTGGGCAAGTGAATAATTAGGTTCTCTTAGGAACCTTCTTTTCCTAAGAACAATTCTGGGACAGAATACCCTGATTTTGCACACGTAAGAGCTAGTCCCTTTCTCATTTCTGCATGAAACACTTTCTCTAGTTACTATTAGCCGCTACAAATGCATGCAGGGTTTTCCTATTAATGCTGCTAAATTTTCCAAGTGTCATTTTCCGAAAGTCTGAGGAACCTCCCACTGCTTCCCACTGTGATTTACAGTTGGAGGTAACACCACCCAAGAGCCTGGCCAGAGCTTTGAAATTAAATTAGAAGATGCTCTAAGCTGTGCTCAGAAACATCGAGAAAGAAGATTTGACTCAGACCATGTGAGTCACAGTTGGTCTCCCGCTCTCCCCTTGCTGCCGATGGAAGGAAATTACAGCAGCCATGGCACTGGCCCAGCTGCACAGGCTGGAGGGTGGGGAACCAAAGCAAAACCCACTCCTTCTCTGTTAACCCTCTACCTTGAGTTCATCCTCACTCCATTCAATTGGACTCAAGCTGCTGCTGATCAGACTTTCTGATTCTTTTTTGAGATCCTCATCATCACTTTCAAGCTGCTGCAAGAGTCCAGTGCTGTACACAGTTATCCTTGCATTTGTGCTCTAGCACGAAGAGATTGAGATGAGAGACAAGTCCATCGATCCACAGCCATTTCCAACGGACGTGAAAATGCACATTCCCTCCTCTTTGATCTGTGTGGCTAATGGTTAGAAGCAGCTATTGATTGACTTCTTGAGCTGAAGCTTGAGGTAACCAGGACAGGAAGATTAAGACTAATTTTCGTGTGTCTTTGTTTTCCCTTTTTGTGGCGTACAGCTCAAAACAAAAGTCAGCCCAAGGTGTTTCTGTGCAAGCTGCAGCAGCGTGCAATGACCTGCCTCAATTTCTTTAGTCTTGTAATGCAATAACAAGTATAGCAATGACAGCAGGGCAGTAAGATCCTAGGCTGCAGCAAGCAAGGATTTGCTGAAACAACCATGGGCACAGAAATAAAGGAAAGCTGCTGCTTACCCTTAGAAAGCCTCAGGTAGGCAGGGATCCCCAGCAAGATATCCTTGCCTCCACTGCTAACCCTTAAATAAGGCCTGGGAAGGGGTAAATCTATCCCTTCTAGTCACTCAGGTGCATTTCATTGCATGCACCTGAGTTCCCCTGGGTTGCCCTTGCCTTCCCACCAGGTGCTCAATCACTGCTTCAGGCTGTGACTTAGCATTTCTGCTACAGGTCTTAAGTGAGAAAGTTAAAAAATAAAAATAAAAACTGCTTACACTTGACATTTACAGGAGCCTGCA